GGGAAGACGTCGAGTAATTGTCGAGGAAATTGAAATTTACATGCGAGTTCCCACTCTTTGGAAGACAGTAGCTGTCTTCATTGGCAATGCTTTGAAAATCGGAGGAAAGCGTTGTAAAGTAGAAGATTTACGCTTTCTGATAGGTGCTCCAGTTGTTTCGAACGCTTTCTAGTTCGCGAGAAATCTGCGTCGAGGAAATGTCAAGGAAATTTTCGAAGCCACTCGAAAACTCTATTACTCCCTCGCCGTAGTAGGGAACTTCTTTGAACACCTTCAAAATACTTCTGTACACGTCAGTTCGATGGAGTAAATTGAAAATGATGCACTTGGCGCGGATCCATTCCGTTCTTGTATGCGCCATGCAGTGACCCCACTCGGAGTCATTGGGAAGGTGTTTTGTCCTAGTGACGACTTGCTTAAGCACACCAAAAGATATTTCCAGTATTAACTAATTAGGATAACTCTTGTGGTCATAGTGATGTCTGATCATTCCTTTATTCAAATCGCTTCCTTTCCAACCCGTTCTGATGAATGACACGCTTGCGGTTGCAGGATCTGATGATGCCAAGAAGGCTGCGAATCTGCCTGTTTTGAACTTTCTACAAGATGCTGTTCCTCCACTAAGTTCTCGAAGCATGTACATCATTCTAGAGTAGATACTCGCTGCCCTTTCCCTACGATTCTTTTGCAGGACGCGTTGCCTTCCTATGCCACACTGATCACTACGAACCAAACCAACACACCACTTTCCATTTGAATTTTAATTCCAGACAGGTGTGACATATTGTTTGCATTAGGCTAACGAGGAAAGGTCACCAGGCCGGTCCGGCCATTTGCAATGAGGTGTATACCTACGCATTCGTCTTGAGACGATAAGCTAGAAACCGCTTTTCTTATCTGCTAAACGGTGCTCTGAACGGAGTTACGGAAGTTTTCCCCTCAACACTGTACTTAAACGCAGTATATGAGCGCTATCATTGGAGTCGCCACTATAAGCCAAGCGGGAAGGAGCACGTCGTGGTTGACGTGGCGTAAGTGGTAACGCTCCAGGCTTGTAGGCGAGAGGTCATGGGATCGGTCTCTCGTGGTGTTTGTTGTTTTGCCTTTTTGAAAACATGACCAGAAAGGCTTTTAGCGACAGTATCTCCTCAATTGCTGCCTTTACCTGCCTGTGTAAGGAGTTAGGGAGCACCTCTGCGCAGGTTGAAAGCTATTTTTAATTAATATTTGCCATGACTGAAAACGACGCTCATAGCCCACTGACAAGGTGTTTTTGCGGTAAACGAGTATGATATTCGTGTTCAGAAGACCGAATTTTCCCTGGTTACAAGTTTCCAGCTGAATCTGAGATTTTGACCTACACTCGAGAAAGGGCAGTCAACATACAGTCAAACGAGAGAAGGTATGAATCGAAAACTAACTGGAAAAGCACCTTCCCTGAATTTTGATGCAGAGTCATGTAAATCATTTCCGTTATGCGGGAATGTGAGCCGTTGAACGTTTCTCTTTTCAAAATCTTGGTTGGAAGAGCAATTTCCATGCAAAGAGTTCAACGATAGGTTGATGATATGATGGTTGACTCACCTCATTTTTTAGGGTTGGGTCAAAATCTCAGATTCGGTAGGAAACTTATCTCCAAGGGTAGTTTGATCTCCTGAACACGAATATCACGCCTGTTTGCCGCGAAAAAGCCTGACACGTGCATTACGGGCACCATGTTCATACATGGACGACTACTGCCCAAACCTGCAAGGAACTGCTCGAAATTTTTTCGTACAGGGAACTAATGGCGAAGTTGGTAATTAAAAAGTTAGAAGCTTTCTGGCTACATCTTCACGAAGCACAAAAGAAACAGACTCTCCGAGGAACCGTTCCCACGACCTCTTGCTCGCGAGTTCGGGGCACTGCCACTGCGCTTCCTTGCTTTATAACTACGTTCAGAGAATCGTTTAGCAGATAAGGAAGGCAGTTCTGAGCTCAGCGCCTCGAGGCGACTTCAACGGTATACGACTCATTGCAAATGGCCGGACCGGCCTGATTCGCCTCAGAAGTACAACAACTTGGAAGTAAGAGACACAAAAAATGCACAAACACCCGTTGTGTCCGTGATGGCCTTTGATACGACGCCCTCCCAAACTCCATCGGGGGCAAATACACCCCACATGTCGAGGATCCTCGACCGTATCCCCTGTCAAGAGACATATGGCGCCCCAGTCAACCACAGAAACAAAAATTGCTGAAGGAATCAACAATATTCGAAGAAGGGAAGGAAGAAACGAAGGAAGGACTAAACAAGAGGAAGGAACACGCTGGGAAAAAAGAAATTACTTACCCGAACCCGCCTTCTGCTCTAAGACTTACTCCTAAACGAGTAAACACAGAGTTCAATACACATTGAACGACCAGACACGGGAAACACCCCCACCTCAAGATAACAGACTTGTGCAATTGCAAAATTACGTGCTTAATGTGCATCATGTCAAAACATCTTTATCACACGTGAAGTCACCTTCATCGGAGAAATTTACCTCACTTACCAATGCCACCAAATTCGGCCAATGGCAAGCCAATTCCTTCAAGCGGAACATCGTAGATCCCGTAAGATTGGGGTAGGCGGTCACGCGAAGTGACTGGCCGTTCCTTGGGGGATAGAGGTTGCGTAGGTAAGTCGCTGCCAGCATGCTTTGCTGATATCTTGCGATATATATTGGGGGCACCTTATCCACATAGATTCTATCAAGTACACGTCACTTCCGGTGACACGCCTACCCCAACTTACGGATCTCGAGTATACATTCCGCGCTTCGAACCGTCGGATATACATGGCGGTCAAGTGTTGGAAAAGTGTTTATTTTATCTGCAAAGAGAATAGACAAACGAAAAATTGTCTCAAAATTTATCACGTATTCACAATCCAAGTCTAAAGAATACGATAAGACTTTGTCCTCACATAAAACCCCACTAACAACGTTTCATCATAACTGTTCATTTGTAAGTTATCAAGTGCAAGCGGCTTGAAATGAATTTATGTAAAAAACAATCCTTTCCGTCAGGAAAGGATCTCTAAACCTACAGACTAAAATAATGATTGAAATTGTTCTTTAGTTGGAGCTCTACGGAAGCAGTACTATCCAAAGTCTAGCGTTGTTGGAGTCAAGCAAGCATAAGAAGAATGGCATATCACAAAAACATCCTCACAAGAGATTTACCCCTCTTAAGGACCTCGAGAGGCGGTTGGCATGTCCCGTCTAAACGACATCCCAACCAAGAAACTACTTTTTCGGGTTTTCGGTCCGGTCAATGGAAGTCCAAGTGCAGTCAGCATCGGCGGGACCTAGGAATATTATGGAAGATGTCCCAACAAGAAGCCATTGTTGGGCTTCAAGAGCAGGATGGCCCAACTGGCTTCCGCACACTAACGGCTAACATGGACCGAAGGCGAGAGGTAAAAATTGTGCTAAGCGACAACTGATATTTCTGCCTTCCTGTAAAGATGTTGTGAGCCTGTCAAGTGTTTTGTCAAATGGAAACCTCATTTTAGGTATTGAACTCCAAGAGTCAGAAAGAGTGGAAGTATGGTCATTGGTGCGATGTGTCCGACCATTCGGCGCTTTTCCAACTTCTTTCTATCCAGAGGAGTGGGAGCTGGGATAAGTACAAGGAATACAAGGATAGTCTGACGAATCCAATGCATCCCTTCGATAGTCAAAACTGGCCAAAAATTATGGATTATATTACAACATTGACCCGATGCGGGCCTATAAACCTCCTCCTGGCCGCCTTCCAAAACTCGGGAGAAGAAAGCTGTTGTGAAGAGACCAAGATCTCAAGTCTAACTGAGTTCTGTACCCCCCCCCCAAAAAAAAAAAAAGCTGGCATGCCGCACAACTCACATTCAATTCCTGAGGCGGCCACGCCCGTAAAATCGCCTCGGTTCCACGTGGCCGAAAAAGGCAAAACTAGCGTTGTCGTCAACGGGTTAAAAGCTAGATAGAAATGAATCACCATGCCTTGCAGTTTGCTCTGTGTTGGAGTGAATGTGGAGACGTATTGTGCGTCTGAGATGTAATTGCACTCATTGCATGTGAGGCGTGAAATAAAGGCCTTTTCTCCCCAGCATCAGTTGCCGTTGTTTTTTTTTGCCGCGCTGTTTTCAGAATCAGAGCTTAAAGCACTGATAGTATTGTTGCAGTAGTTTCCATGAAAGTAGGCAAAGGCGATGTTCTAGAGGTCTATGAGGAGTCTGATGTTGAGGATCACGAGCACGAAGGTTGGTTTGCCATTTGTGGTCCTTCCTTTTTTGTTCCGAGTTTATTATTTATAAGTTTTTGAGTTTTTTTTTTGCTTTATGCTGTTAGAGTTTACCCCACTACTGGGCACTATTGCATTATTACAACCCCAGTAGGGGTGAGATGGGTCAAAAAATAATTTTCGCTGAAACTTCGGCTATGGGGGTTATCGAGGGTCCTGATCACGAATATGACATCCATTTTTGGCGCTGGCGCCAGTTGGCCCCACAGCTGTTTCCACCGAATTCGCTGTACACTTGTGCATAGGGGGGTGCTATCTTAGTTGAGGGGGCCACGCGGCGGCGCGGCGCTCTGTTCGTCTGCTCCTCCAAAGGCTTAGTCCCAGGGGCAGTTACTATTTCGCCATCACGTGGCAGTTTCAAAATACGCGCCATCGGGGACTAAGCCTTGCAGGAGAAGACGAACAGGGCGTCGCGTCGGCGCGTGGCCCCTCAACTAAGATTCCTAGTTCGGGCGGACGCATAGTCGGTCGGACGACAGCAACGACTCGTAAGTGTCGCACAGCATTGGATGCGTATCGATCGTCGGACTTGCCTGAGTATTCGACGATTAGATGCAGTTAGACAGTCAGACAGTTGCGATCGTTGCTGTCGGACGACCGACTATGCGTGCGCCCTTCCTAATCTCCCGAAGTGATCAATGGAAGTGTGAGAAATAATGAGATCGTGATTTTGTTTGTGTTAAACTTCCACAACTAGTGCGTCGACAGCGTAGAATACATAATTCCCGCATTTCCGCTTGGGGAAGGCTCGCTCTACTTGATGTATGCCTGTATTTTCACCCTTTGGAATGGTCCATATGCGTAATAAGCACTGAGCATGACGTTCAAACAAATGGCGTTGAGTTCTTGCGAAGCACTATTGCGCGATTTTGCAACTGCTCGAAGTTTCTACGAGCTCCGAGCAGATTGTCTACTCCAGCATACGCCATACATAGTCTCACTTTGAATATGAGTGAAGACATGACCTCTCCCCGGACGCAATGAATTCGAGGCAGTTTTGCTTGCACTAATTTTGCCATCACTTGTTTTATGTGTGGGCATCTGCCTTGCTTAAATGTCCAGTGTTTTCCTGCGAAATTCTACTCGGTCCGTCCCATCAGTGTGGTTTGGAATATAACTCTTTCTGCTAGTATTTACGAAGACCAGTGGTGTCATCACCGTCGATGTGAAATCCATACAGTGTTTCAGCTAAAGCAAAAACCTCAAATTGGTCCATATAATTGCTACTAACTTAATGAAAGATACATGTACTAGTCGAAAAGAAAGCGCTTTTGAAAAGACGCTATAAGGCATTGGATAGGAGCCAACTTTGGTTCGCCTGCCTCTTGGTTGGCAGCCGTGGAGATTGCACGAAACGTGGACCAGGTTGTAGCGAGACATGATACATGCATCACACCAATGACGGTGTTCATTTAAACTCATCTGATGGTGGGCACTTCCCCTCCTCGTCTCGTGAGGACGAGAAAAGGTTCTTGTTCAAGCAACAACCCCAGAATGAATTGGTGAGGTAACAGCGGTTGACGATGATGTGGCACAGGCTGGCTCGATTGCAAATATTTTCTTTCAGTAATGAAGGTCAAGAATGAAGGTGTGTTACAAAACCCAGACAGCATCTCACATGTGCTTTTTTGCCATTTTGCTTGCACTTTCCAGGAGTTGGAACTCTCCACGCTTGCACGCCTTTGTCTTAAAATGCAATCCAAAGATCCTCTGGCGGAATGCGATTATATCCTATTTCCGCTACCGAGCGATGCACTGGGCTCCAGCGCACCTTGAAAATGTTCTTGATAACCACAGCAGCCTTTCTCCGACATTTGGGCCGATCGTCTAGCTTAGTGGGTTATAGTGGTAGATAGAAGCTTCCGGGATACTACGGGACATATTGCCGTGTGACACCATCGAACAGGTTAACAGTGCAAACGAGTGCCCGTTTTGTGTAAAGTTAGGGCATTTCGGTTTCGAAATCGTTGCATTTTACATGGTCAAATTATGGAACAAGCGTTGATCTCACTGGAACCATTGCATAATAACCTTGCAGGTTACTGCTAGGCACAAAAGGAGCAGATCATTCAGAGTCTTTTCAAAGTGCTTCTAAAAATACACTAACGAGGGCCCGATTTCAGATTCCGATAGAGAACAACCTCATGGTCGTAAATTCAAGTCGGTGTTGGCGCATACAGTAGCGCTTCATGCGGAACCCTCAGAAAATTCTAAGAAGGTACCTTCTAAATTGCTACAGATCACTAATTTCCTTCAGTTCGTTTAACTGCTTTGAGTGGAATTTTTTTTACAGCGTCAGGTGCTGAAAAAGAAGAAGAAACTCACCAAAAGTCAGCTGACTGAGAAGAGGAAATTAACGCAACAAAGGAAGCTTCTTGGTCTCGTGCGACCTGACGTGACAACTAACCGTGAGAGGGAGCGGCTATTGAAGAAAATTGCTACCAAGTCTGTATCACGTGCTTGAACACTCTGTTCCAGTATTAAGCGCAATCGATTACTATCATTTGATTCCAGAGGTGTTGTGCAGCTTTTTAACGCAGTGGCAGAGAGACAGCGGATATTGGCTGAAGAATTATCGAAGAAAATGAGTGCAAAAGAGCGCAGAGAAACCGAGAAACGATTGCAAGGAGCAACGTTCCGTGTTTACCCTGACAAAGGCAATGAAGATGTGGCAGAGGTATCCCTTCTTTCCACTTTTTTGATTCTTGTTTCATTGTATCTGCTGTCTACTTTTGAGCAACGCTCATTGTCAGTGTGTATGCACCCTGGAGCAAAAATTGCGGTAAAAAATTGCGGTAACAACATAAACGAGCTAAGTAAGTCTGACACGTAAGATAAACGAAAAGGTTTCTCTCACAAGGGAGGTCTTTCAGGGCAAGGTGCGCTTTTTCAAAACGGTTTTGTGCATATTGTAGGGACGCATGTAGGGAACGCAAAACCATGTTTCATTTTCGCTGAACGGTTATAGCAGTACCAAAAAAGAAGCATAAGGTACTGTTAAGGGTTCGATCCCCCGTGGCGACTAAATTTTGCATTTGGGTTGGCGCCTACGGTTTGGTGCCAAATCGCGCTAAATATCAAAATCAGATGTCAAATTCATCGTCAGGACCATTTTGAAGCCAACAAGTGGCCGCCAACCTTGATTGCAAAATTAGTCGCCGCGGGGGATTGAACCATCAAGAGTATTATTCACCACTTTTTTGGTACTACTAAAACCGTTCAGCGAAAACGAAACATGGTTTTGTGGTCCATACATGCGTCCCTACAACATGTACTAAACCGTTTCCAAAAAGCGCACCTTGCCCTGAAAGACCTCCTTGTCAGAGATTAATGGACAGAAAACAAGGCTGTTCTTGTAGTTCAGAGGCTGTGGTTGACACAGGAATAAAGCCTTGCCGGAAACTCGCGACCCGCATTGTGTAGGTGGGTTACGTAAGCTCTTCTAGATTATTCATCTGGGCCAATTTCTTTTCAAGTCAGCCTCGTTTTGATGATGCTAAAAACAGCCTTCCATCCAGTACCTCATATAAAGTAATACGTTGGATTTCAATCACTGGGATGGATGACTACCTAAATGAGATGAAACCCGTTCCTGTGGTACCAATGCGTAGCCCTAGCTTTGTTGCGGGCACTCCATTCTGCTAAAATGTCCACACCATGATTGTAGGCCATCACCTTGATATGATTGCTTCTCAGTTGTTGTTGATACCGCTATCAAAGAGAAAAGATCACGGTGCGATCAAATTTTTTTTGTCTAGGAGACTTTTTGTAATCAAGACCAGCTATCGAAGAGTAAGAGTTTATAACTTCCAACACATCTTAACTCGAAAACAACTTTTTTTAATCCTTTGACAAGAGCTGCAAGTTGGAAAATGGACTCTGATCGACATTCCAACCGTCCAGTTGTCTTCGAGAGCTCAAACATGGTTTAGAGTTGGAAAACTACTCCACTAAATCTTTCTCCATCCTAGCGTTTCCTTTAAGAATGCCTTTCTAATATTGCGGACAACACGTTCTTCCATTATGGAAGCAACTCGCAATGCTGCATAAACGGCAAGAGATCATTTGTAAATGGCCGTTCACGAATTCTGTCCCATTTGCTCTTATCGTGCACCTCGTGTTATCATTGGCGTCGGCTGCTCTGTGTTTTGGAGGCACAGAAGAGTGCCCGCTGTTCGTAATTTTTTGCCTTTCGTTAAAAGTTGTAGGCCTTTGTTTTCACAAGACATGTGGCAGATGCTGCACAAATGTTTGCTTGTTGAAAATAGGTGCGGAAGGCACTGATTCGGTTGGTCTTCCGTTACAGTTCCTTTATGTATTGTTCGATCCTGTCTCTCCTTGGTCTTCAAAAATCACGTTCCATGGGAATGTTCGCTCTTTCACAAATGTATCCTTGACATCAATTTTCAGGGTACCAAGAAGGAGGAAGTGGATGAGTTCATGAAGAACGAAAATCAAGAAGATTGAATGAGAGGCCGTTGTTTTTCCTATGTCATTGTTGTTTTTGTTACTTGTTGTTTGTTGTTTTGTTGAATTCTGTCCGTCATTGTAATATCTGGAATGTTTTGACGCTATGTGTATAAAATTTTATGCAGCACACGATAGTCGTCTGATTCTTATCTCTCGTTCTTATCCCTATCTTTAAGCATTCTTATTTCATTTGCTATATCACCGATGATGCACTTCGAGAGACTCATGTGTCACGGTTTTGGAACTTTTGTAGATAAGATAGGACATCCGTCGTCGGCTTTCCAGGGTGTGGGTCGCTAGGACAGAAAGCGACTTTTCCGGCTCTCACAGCGTAAATTTTTTTCACCGCGAGAACCCGAGGTCCCTTCCTGGTCAGGGATAGACTTGGGGTAGCAGTGAAGAAATTGCTTTCTGTCCTAGCAACCCACACTCGGCTTTCAAATAGCCTTCTTACAACACGACGCTATTTTGACAATCTTGAGTGAATCGTCTCGATTCTATAGCGATCAGATTAGCATGAGCAGAAGCTCATGTTGAAGATATGAAACAACTTATCTGAACATGGGAGCAGATTTGAGCTTTGCTCATAGGAGCAGGTGAAGTTGTTGTGCTACAGTTCCCATGGTGGATACATTGATGCCATCGACCCAGACTTCCTGGTTGACTTGAGGCAAAGCAAAGAAAAAAGAACTTACAGGCAGTGATCACGATGGTTGCAGGGAGTTGCGGTTTTGATAACGTAGTCGAGCGTCATTGGATCAAGCGCTTGAGAAGGCAAAGTTAACTGCACCTCCAAACGCGGAGGAGTCTCGTTCACAAATGATGTTCTATAACGCCACAGAGACGGTACCGCTTCCCAGTCATCGTGATGACTGCTTTTAAAACTGCATAGCCCTGATCTGCGCCGAGAAGAGAGAGCCTTCAAGAGCTCATAGTCGGAACGATCGTGAGATATGACGAACTTCTGCGAAGAGAAATTGGTTCCTCTCACCATGTTGGAGAGTAACTGAATGCAGTAGAATGGGAAAAGTATAAGTAATGAATTGTCGGTGCTATCGCAATATATGGGGAACTGGTGGCTATGTACTCAAAACCGCGCAAAACTTCTCTGCCTTTAAAGGAGGATTGCACGGAAAGAACGAAGGTCGAAGAAGGGAGAAATCGCCTAGTGGGGAGAGCGGTGAATCTCTTGAGGGTGCGGACAGACACGCAATCGGCATCGAAAGATTTGACCTCTGAGATCTAGCATGGCTCAAAGTTGGCGAGTTCGGCGATCTCCGCCCACCGATCGTCTGATCACTCGCCGTAGTACAATAGGTGGCGAGTGATTAGATAGCTGAGAGAGCGTAGGGTTGAAGAGGGCAAAGCGATGAGAGTCCCATCAATGCTCAAATCAACGGACAAGGAAGGGGTCCCATTTCTCCGGTTCTGGGCCGTTTTTCGTGGTTTCGCTTTCTTTCTGGTACTACTCACCATCTCTACCTCAATTTGGAATGGGTTGCTTTTCCATCGTAAATTCGTCCTTTAAAACGGACTATTGCCCTACATGTAAGTGGGGGAGACTCCAGGGGCGCATGAGCAATTCCCATTTCTCTCTGGAGCCCAGGGTGAATAACGGTCGAGGAAATCCCTCGACAGGGGGTCGTATTTGCTCCGATGAGAGTTGGGAGGGGGTCGTAATCAAAAGGTTCATCAACGGACACAACGGTGCTGCTGCCACTTATTTGCTGTCATCATTAGTTTCACAAGTGTTGTAGTTAGCCTAATGCAAATAATATCTTACAACTGTCTGGAATTAAAATTTAAATGGAAAGTGGTTGTTGGTTTGGTTCGTAGTGATCAGTATGGCATAGGAAGGCAACGCGTCCTGCAAAAGAATCGTAGGGAAAGGGCAGCGAGTATCTACTCTAGAATGATGCACATGCTTCGAGAACTTAGTGGAGGAACAGCATCTTTGGTAGAAAGTTCAAAACAGGCAGATTCGCAGCCTTCTTGGCATCATCAGATCCTGCCACCGCAAGCTGTCATTCATCAGAACGGGTTGGAAAGGAAGCGATTTGAATAAAGGAGTGATCAGACATCACTATGACCACAAGAAGTTATCTCTAATTAGTCTTCTGCAGCCTTTCTCTCTTGCTTCTTGTGACCCTCTCCGGCATCGTTGTTCTTGTTTGTGTTAGTTGTTTGTGCGTACGAGGTTTAAGGTGGAACATTTATTAGTTCGGCCTAACGTTTCGACAAAATCGTCGTCTTCTGAGGCCTAAATGCGGTTCAAGGTTTAGACTTACGTTCTAATCCACCAAGCGCCTTATCCACTCTAGCGGTTCCGACATTCTGTCAGAACCTCCACCGAGAAACACAAGAAAAATAATTTTGACTCACCCAAGGGTTCCACCGTTCACGCGGGAGTCCCGCTACCACATATAGACGCTACTCAGTAAAAAATAATGCACACCGCACTGTCTCTTGATTTCAGTGTTCATTGCAGGACGCACGTACGCTTTATTCTATAGCTCGCAGTGCGGTATATACGGCGAAAGATCACTTGTTATTGAAGGACGCTCATCTCGGCCGTTCATTGCTGGATTTCTGGAAGAAATCCAGAATGCTTCCAGTGCTTTTCTCGCTACAATTTCTGTCTCATGCGCCAACACCGTACACTTGATTTCAAATTCAAACGCCATTGTGCTCCTCGAACTTAATGCCACAACCGTCTGACACACACTGCCTATCATAGAGCCTGTTTCGCACTAGTTGCCGTCCGATGTTTTCATTGGGAATATTAACCAGCTGAACATCGTTCTGCAGCTGTGCTCTTCTAATGCTCCGTTGAATAGCAGTGCTCACTTTGTCAGATATAAAGGGGAGACATAAGGGTAACTTATTTTGACGCGGCACCCCTCTTGGGGAGATATGCTCACTCTGGTGTCTTTGTACCGCATAGCCATTTGCAATGGCTATTTTCATAGCTAATTGTCGTGATTCACGCCTTTCAACATCACCAGTGCTCACCACAGTCGCGGTTCTGAACATATTTCTGACAACGGCGCGTTTGACGGCGATTGGGTGAGCCGAAGTAGCATGAATCAGAATGTTTTTCGAGCTACTTTTGCGGTACCATTTCACATGTGCGATGCCACTGGATAATTTAACTTGCGTCAAGTTAAGACGACAAGTGAGCATATCTCCCCAAGAGGGGTGCCGCGTCAAAATAAGTTACCCTTATGTCTCCCCTTTATATCTGACAAAGTGAGCACTGCTATTCAACGGAGCATTAGAAGAGCACAGCTGCAGAACGATGTTCAGCTGGTTAATATTCCCAATGAAAACATCGGACGGCAACTAGTGCGAAACAGGCTCTATGATAGGCAGTGTGTGTCAGACGGTTGTGTTATTTGTCCATACGGTAAAGTAGGAGATTGTGCATACAGCGGAGTAATTTACCAAATAGAATGCCAGACTTGTAACGCAACCTATATTGGAGAAACAGGGAGGGTACTAGCTATTCGCATCAAAGAACACCTCGGCTAGCATGAGACGCGGTACTCGTTCATCAGCTCTTGGAAGGCATAAGTTCGAGGAGCACAATGGCGTTGAATTTGAAATCAAGTGTACGGTGTTGGCGCATGAGACAGAAATTGTAGCGAGAAAAGCACTGGAAGCATTCTGGATTTCTTCCAGAAATCCAGCAATGAACGGCCGAGATGAGCGTCCTTCAATAACAAGTGATCTTTCGCCGTATATACCGCACTGCGAGCTATAGAATAAAGCGTACGTGCGTCCTGCAATGAACACTGGAATCAAGAGACAGTGCGGTGTGCATTATTTTTTACTGAGCAGCGTCTATATGTGGTAGCGGGACTCCCGCGTGAACGGTGGAACCCTTGGGTGAGTCAAAATTATTTTTCTTGTGTTTCTCGGTGGAGGTTCTGACAGAATGTCGGAACCGCTAGAGTGGATAAGGCGCTTGGTGGATTAGAACGTAAGTCTAAACCTTGAACCGCATTTAGGCCTCAGAAGACGACGATTTTGTCGAAACGTTAGGCCGAACTAATAAATGTTCCACCTAAAAACCTCGTACGGCACAAGAAACTAACACAAATTATCTTAATTAGTTAATACTGGAAATATCTTTTGGTGTGATTAAGCAAGTCGTCACTAGGACAAAACACCTTCCCAATGACTCCGAGTGGGGTCACTGCATGGCGCATACAAGAACGGAATGGATCTGCGCCAAGTGCATCATTTTCAATTTACTCCATCGAACTGACGTGTAGAAGCATTTTGAAGGTGTTCAAAGAAGTTCCCTACTACGGCGAGGGAGTAATAGAGTTTTCGAGTGGCTTCGAAAATTTCCTTGACATTTCCTCGACGCAGATTTCTCGCGAACTAGAAAGCGTTCGAAACAACTGGAGCACCTATCAGAAAGCGTAAATCTTCTACTTTACAACGCTTTCCTCCGATTTTCAAAGCATTGCCAATGAAGACAGCTACTGTCTTCCAAAGAGTGGGAACTCGCATGTAAATTTCAATTTCCTCGACAATTCCTCGACGTCTCCCACTCTCGAGAATAGGCGTGCTTAGAAAAACGCTCAGCACAATTTAGAAACTAGAAGTCTTTGTGCATTCAAAAGCCTTCACTTTCTGAAATGGTTATCAATGAAGAAAGTTATAGTCCTTTAAATAGGGGGTACATTTGACGATTTTTCCAACTAGCGCGCTCTAGGCACAGCGCGCGACGCGATCGCGGGTAGTTAGCGCCGCTATACTGGAGCGCGAGACTGTTCAACTGTGTAGGGGCTGTACCTCCTTCAATGTTCTACTTTCCGGCCAATGTGGCAAAGGTTAAATGTCTTTAAAGGAAAGAAGGAGAACCTAATCTGAGCAGAATTGAATCTAGCATTTGGATCAAGCCGCATTTGCGTGGCAGCGGCGCTGCGTCCCTCTCGCACATCTGAAACTAGCATTTTTTGATATGAAACCGGATGTGCAGAGGA